GGGCGCCATACGCATCCTTCCTCGCCGGGCCCCGCTGCGAGTCGAGGACATCAGGAAGAGACCAGCCGGAAAGCGGGTCCGATGAGTCCATCATGGGCCAGACATCCTTCTCTTGGAAGAAGGTGCTGTTTGACATGTAGATAGGAGTCAGTCACGGGCATGGACACATCTCTTATTGGGTGGAGATATGCACTAGAGGTACTTACGGGTTGGGCATGGTAAAGTCGGCTCGAGGTGTTCCGAATGGGAGGAGCATGCCGTCCGCATAGAACTTATTCGAGCCCATGCGCATGTGGGGAATCTGGCAGAGCATGTGGCGATCCCGGTAGTCCTCGCGGGCTCGGGCGTTGACGACCTTGTCACGAGTCGCCTTAGCCTTTCCGATCTTGATCTTCTTGGGCGCCTCGGTCATTGCGAGGAGGCGGAGCCACTGGCGCCTCGATAGCACAACACGCATCTGGACGCCGTCCTTGAGTGTCCAAGTCTTTGCGAGCAGAGCTTCCTGGTCTTTGCCCTCTGTCTTGGTGCACACGTCCTGGACAAGAGGCCGCAACATGATGGTGAGGATATCCATGTGGGATTTGGTTATGAATGCCGAGTAAAAGACGTGAAGGACGCAGTCGGCGGCCGTGTCGGCGTTCTGGATGGTGGCAAAAATGAGCAGCAAAATGACGTTGCGGGCAACGACATCAAACTCCTTGTCATTGAGTACGACCGAGACGTCGTGCTTGTACTCCTGCGGCAGCTTGCCAATGGACATGATGACGTTGCGCAGGTCACCGGAAGCTGAAGTAGGCGAGGTTTTTCAGTCGGCTCTAGGCGCCAAAAAGATGGGAACAGGCTAGGGTCTGGGTCGTGTTGGCAGATATACCGGGAAGGAGCAGGTCGAGATTTCTTTCGAATCTGACTCCTTCGTTCTCTCGAAGCTTAACAATGTCGACGGCCGGGATGTTGCCCCAGAGGTATTTGAAGGTGCCGAAATACTCCATCTTGGGACCCTCGTCGGATAAGAAGGTGGGCATTCGATGCTGCCGGATCCAGACGGGCTTCCAGTCTGCCTTGAGGAGGTCGGACTCGCAATCCTTTTTGTGCTTTTCGGCATTTTTCTCCTTGCATTTTATGCAGCAGTACTGGTGAGAGTGAAGCTTTGAGTTAACGAATTGTGGAATGCGCAAGCACGACTAGACACTGCTAATGGTTGAGGAGAGGATCTTACAGCAACGAGCTTACATCTACCACAGGCCATAACAGCCTTGGCGGTAGATGCGTTGCCATTTTTGGCCTTCTTGCATGCCTTATTCGCGCAGACAAGGTGCGCGGGCTGAATCGAGGGCAGGCCGCCCGTATCGGCGGGCATGGCGGATATGGTTCCTTGCTCGCGGAGGGAAAACAAGGAGAACTGGCAGTGTCGGGAAAAAAAACAATGAAAAAAAGGTGATCGTATTGTATTGGGTGACAATAAAGTCGTTGGTAACCAACCAAGAAGCTCCGAAGAGATGGCAAGATCTCAAAGTTCTTGTGGTGGAAGAAGAGGAAGAACTTGAAAGAATTTCGAGGACTGAAGAAATTTCTGGCCACCCAATATATTGTGCTTAAGGGCTTGGGATATTTCAAGGCAGCAACGCACCCAACCGCTCGTTCATAGCAGAAGACGGCAGGCAAAAAAAGAGGCCTCACCTCAGTTGTCCGAGTCTCCCGATGCGAAATGAAGCTGATGTCATAAGAGACCTTTGGTCTGATGTTTCTCTTACCGTAGTGGAAACTTTAAGCCAGTCGTTTGTGTCTGCTGTGACGATCTGGGCCAAGACCAGACCCACACATTAGGACCACGCGGTTAACAATCGTCGAGATGCGTCAGGCGTACGCCGAGCACCAGAATCCCCTTTTCTTCCCCTTTTCTCCTCAGAGTAGAATCTTCGTTCGTAATGCCAATCGACAGTGTACCTTTTGCGGTCCTGTCCACGACCCTGGCCGTGACATCTGCTACAGCCTCAGCCTAACCATTCCTACCCACCTTTGTAAGTCTAGACCCGGCCTAAGAACTGCCCTGCAAGATCTCTGCACCACCCAAGAGAATAAAAACAGCCAATTGGCTGCCTTGGGTAATTAATCCAAGCCATTGGGTCATAACATTGGCTGGGCCTATTCGGCTGCTGCACGAGGTCTCCCACTACTCCATGATGGTACCCACTACTACGGAGGACTCCCACCACTGCATAATGACTTCCACTGCCGCGTAGGACTCCCACTGCATGAGGACTCCCACTGCATGAGGACTCCCACTGCATGAGGACTCCCACTGCATGAGGACTCCCACTACTGCAAGAGGCCCCGTTAATGTCGGGGGTCTTATGGATAAGCATGTGAACGGCCGAGCACGATAGAATTGGCCAAAGGGCAGGCTGGACTCGGTGGAAACGGTTTCCAATTATTAACCTTGGATAGTGTCGAAGGGGGCGGTTTTTTAAACCTTTAAATACTACCTTCCACACCGGGGGACCCTAATTTCAAAAAACGCTCGGCCACACGTTTAACTCTTAACGGGACCTCGAAAAGATCCAGTCAGAAGTTTTGGCGGGACGACGGGTCTACCGGTCGACATATAAAAGAAGACACTTTTACCAAATCAATGGAATTATCCTGGAACTGTATGTTCTCTTATTCTTTATTCCCACCGTCCGTGTCATAACTGCACTGTTCTCTATCAACCATCGAGCACAATGGAGAATCTACCTGGCAAAACGGAACTACAGCGCTTGGAAGAGGAGAGAGACTCTATTCAAGCATGCTTAGCTGTTTGCAAAGCTGCCCGCATACATGTAGATCAAGCTTTCGAACGCAACAAAGATCCTCAAACGAGTACTGAGGATGGTAAGAGAGCCATCTCTAACCTCTCGGAGCTCATGGTAGCCGGTCGACGACAGCCAAACCGACAGCCTCAAACCAACACGACGTACAGCACCGGGGAGATAAACAGAAACACAGCTAGTCTATCCCAGCCTTCTAGTCTCCCTCATCGACGTCGAAAAGTTCAACCCCAAACCAAAGGACCCAATGGAGAGGAGGACACTAAGGAGAGCTGCGGAAATTCCGCAGCAGATTTGCAAGGAGATTCGCATGAGGAGTCATTCATTATGGTGGAGAAGCCCGACGAGGGGGATCCGGATAGGGAATTATGAGCTCAGTATCGCTACAGAAGCCGGATGCACCGCTATGTATTAGCCCACTAGTCCATACAACACAGAGTCACGAATCGCTGAACCCGGAACCTCCTATTGACCTGCTCATCTGTACGTTCGTGCATGACAAGCCGTGCTTGCCCACCACCCCTCAAAGAGCTTCAAGCGTGGGTCAGCCCCGGGGGCGAATGGGTACGAGTGATTGACGGACTGGCAGCTCGCGCTGACCACCCCTGCCTGTTTTTGGTCATCCGTTGTTTGCGCAGGCAAAGCGCGCAGGATGGAGAGTGGGCAAATCGCCCGTCTCTGTTGGGATAGCTGACATCTGTGCCTTAACCGCGGAGCAAAAAAAGAGAAAGCAAGCCAGCAGCCAACCGAAAATTTGAGATGTCGCCAGTTTGGGAGAGAACGTCAAATTCCACACAAGCCGCCGCGAGGCCTGCAT